AGCCAGCTGCACCTTTACATGGATGAGAGAAATGTCCTACAGATGTCATCCTAGGACCCCAGACCCCAAAGTCAGCAACACGGAGCTTGTGTTTAGAATGCAAAGAGAGAGGTGCCCCCGGAGCAACTTACACGATTAGGTAGCTGGGGTGGGCCTTTTGGGAGCAGCTTGGCTTGCAGGGACTTTTTGCTTTGGATCTTGTGGAACAAGTTTCTACTGTAGTCACAAAAGCGACACTGGAGAGCCGCAGACGACAGAGGCTCTGAGTCAGTGAAGACCTCAGGCTCCTTCTTGACATCACTCTCTTTACAGCCAAGTCAGTCCCCCTTCCTGGAATGCCAAAGAGACAGACTGATTCAAAGGACCCCGTGGCTCTCGGCCGGGTGAGATCATACTACAGACGGGTTTTGTGTGTCTAATAATAAATGACAGTCGTCGGTTTTAATGTAGAAGCTCCCCTCAGAATCGTTTCGGTCATTCTTCTAGAATAGAACTGTGGCCTTTTTTCTCTTATGCTCCCTGAACTCAGATCTAGTCATTATATCCAAACCGGCAAGAGCCAGGCTTTTCCCTTAATGTGGGATGTCCGCTGTGGTGAGAGGCAGAGTAAAGAAGAATGCAGAGGGGAGGGCGGGGACCTCAGTCCAAACTACTGATGGAAGGAAGGAGAAGGAGGGGCATGAAGGGCAGTGCCTGAAGACTTCCGGGTGCTGTGACTTTTTAAAATATTTATTTATTTATTTATTTTATTTATTTATTTATGAGAGAGGGAGAGAGAGACTGAGAGTATGAACAGGGGAGGGACAGAGAGAGGGGGACACAGAATCTGAAGCAGCCTCCAGGCTCTGAGTTGTCAGCACTGAGCCCGACGTGGGGCTCAAACCCCTGAACCATGAGATCATGACCTGAGCCAAAGTCGGACGCTTAACCAACTGAGCCACCCAGGCACTCCTGTGACTTTCAAGAAAGCCTTGAGCCCCCTGAGATTCTCCTGGTGTGCCCAACAGAGAACACTTTGCTCATGTTTGGTCACTGGTGTCTATTTAGCTTGGGGGGTTGAGTGGTTAGTTCTTGTATTAGTCTGGGTTTTTCAGAGAAACAGACCTGGGTGCCAGTGTGTGTGCGTGTGTGTAAAGATTTACTTAAAGAATTGGCTCAAGAGACTGTGCGGGCTGACAAGTGTGAAATTAACAGGGCAGGCGAGCAGCGGGAGACCCAGGGGAGACTTCACACTGTGGCTTGAATCTGAAGAGGAGGGGAGACAGTGTTCCCTCTTCCTCAGGGAGCCTGTCTATTCTCTGAAAACCTTACCTGATTGGATGAAGCCCATCACAGTCTGAAGAGTCATCGGCTTTACTCAAAGCCTAATGATTTCAATCTCATCTAAACACCTTCATGGCAACATCTAGACTGATGTTTGACCAGAACATCTGGGTCTCATCATCCGGCCAAGTTGACCAAATTAACCACCACGCTCCCCTACGCGACACCTAATTGGGATCTAGTCAGAGAATAGCCCAGACTCTGCAGTCGTGGGTAGCGGACTGGTTTATAAACTGGAAGAAGACATTCTCCAAGGAGGCACTAGTTGGAACCTGGCCTTCCGTAACTTCCTCGTGACGCTTCGTTTCAGGAAAGGGCGTCTGCAGAGGGGCCTTGTCGTCAGGTTGGACGGCCAAGCTCAGGTGCTCCCCGGGCGGATTTATTAACTGTGAGACTCCTCAAGGGAATGCGAAGTCTCCAGTCAGCCAGGACTTGAGTGCAGCCCTGGGCTATGTCTCCTCGCTTTGTTCTGTGTGCCACCCTGTCACCCAGCGGCTGTGGGACCCCTGCACCACTTGCCAGGAGGCTGGAGACCAAGACTTTAGGTCCTGGGGGGCGGGACATGAAGGAAGGATGAAAGAGGAGAGGAGAAACTTCCTTTTTTACAATGACTAAGTCTCATCTCCCCTCGCCACGTTGGCACCACGCTTCCCAAATCTTGGATTTGAATTTTTAATTTTTTTTAATGTTTTACTTATTTCTGAGAGAGAGAGAGAGAGTGCGTGAGCAAGGGAGGGGCAGAGAGAGAGACACAGAATCTGAAACAGGCTCCAGGCTCTGAGCTGTCAGCACAGAGCCCGACGTGGGGCTGAAACCTCTGAACCGTGGGATCATGACCTGAGCTGAGGTCGGACGCTTGACCGACTGAGCCCCCCAGCACCCCCCCCCGCCAAATCTTACATTTGAAAAACCACCACAAATCCCACATTGTCTCTCTTGTGAGCCAAGGCCGGGCCTTAGCGACATTGGCATGAACCCTTCATTCTACAGAAAGAGACACACTCTTCGTCGTGTTCCTGCAGCCGCCACTGCTAGTTGGCTCTGGGTCCCTGGAAAACACGTGGATGAACTTCGAGGGTGAGAACAGGGTGCAGGGCAGGCCACCTGGGGTTCTCTGCGCCGCTCCTCTCTCCACTCTCTGCTTGGTCCCCTCCCCGAGCTGGCCCGTGTATTCACCTCTCTGTGCACCTATTTGTGTTGAAGTACCCGCAGCTGTGTCCCCGCAGGTGCACCCAGTGCCGGGGGACAGACGGGCTGCTGACGCGGGTGTGGTGGCGCCTCGCAGCAGAAGGGCCGGGAGGCGAGGGAGCAGGAAGGGCACCGGGCCAAGCACTGCTGTCACCCCCAAACCAGAGGCTGACCTCCTTCTGGGTGCCCTGGGGAGGCAGCTCAGCCACGTGGGGAGTAAAGGGCAAGCAGCCCCTTTCTAAGTCAAGGCCAAGGAGCTGAAAGGACAGTGATCAGGCAAGACACTAGCTCCCGGGTGAAGGCGCCTGGTGAGGCTGAGAAGCAGTGGACAAACACCGCTCACCCTACAAGTTCACTTGCATGTGACCGCAGGGGCGCCTGGCGCTCGGGGGCGAGCAGGGCCAGGAGTCCGAGCCACAGGCTCAGGACAGGAAGGCCACGGCTAACGGGTGATGCCGTCCACAGGCCCTGGGAGGGTGTGGCCGCGCGAGGGGGGCCGGGGATTCGTCAGCCCCGACCTAGGTCTTCTCAAGGACTCCGAGTTTGAGGTTAGCAGGTGGTTTGGCCAAGTCCTCAGCATTGATCTCAGGTTCAGCACTGTCTGCCTTGAAGTCAGAACAGGACCAGGTGGCCTCGATGACGAGAGAATCCGGACTTTCCCTGATGTCACTGTTCCCCCCCCCGAAGAATTTGCATTTATGTCTTTACAATAAAGACCTATCTTATAAGTACTTAAAAGGTTCGTCTCCCTCATAATTCCTTGCTTGCTTCAACTCTGGCATTGCATTTGCAGCCCAGCATATACTCAGTGCCACTACTGTATACACGTGTATACTGATGGATGAAGGAAGGAAGGACTGACGTAGGAAACAGGGTCTTCTCAGATTGAGGCTTCTGAGAGGAGCTAAATTTGTGTTTAGGCCTTCAAGGGGAACCGTTGTCTCTGATGCACTGAGGGGGTGACGTGTGCCTGGCCGCGAGGCAGGCTGCTGCTCTCACCTGCTATTCAAGGCTTGCCGATGGACTGTTCTGTTAGATCTTCTGTTGACTGTAAATAGCCAACCCAGGTGAGGAAAATCCCTCTGCAGAGTCCTGCCGGCTCAATTCAACGCCAAACAAAACTGACAGAATGCCAGCCTTTTCTGTCTTAAGTAGGAAGAGTTGATGCCATTAGAAATTAAGAGCAAAAGACAAAATCCTGTCTTTGGAGACAAATGATCGAAACCCGCTTCGGAAGCCCACCCACGGTTCCAGAGAAAGTGGCTTCTAAAATTCAAGTCTTCTGGTGCTCGCTTCGGCAGCACATATACTAAAATTCAAGTCTTCTGGAGGCTAATTTGAAAGCAGCCATAACTCACCCTGATTCAAATGCCCCTGGCGGATCATGGACAGTCGGGACCCTGCTCTGCCTGATCTCTGCAGAAGCCCTGCGACCTTCCTCTGGCCGGGCTGTGACGTAACCACCGTGACCGTGCGCTGTTGACTTGATTCTGTATAACTACAAGTCTAGAATCACTTCCTAGATCATACAGAAATTTCTGAGGGATTATGGAAGGTTTTGGGAATTGTCAGTGTTGTTTAGTTTCAACCTGACTGAATGATAGGTCCAAGCTGCCGCCACCAAACCCCTTTTTAAGAAAATCAGACAACACTTTCTCAAGTTAAAATGGGACACACAAATTCAGCCAGCTGACTGACAGCTGCAAGGAGACCTTCATTATAGTGGCGAAAATAAGATGTTTGTGTGACGATAGAATACTTCACACCTTGTGTTAGAACCTCACAAGCTTTGAGTCCGTTTTCTCGGAGTGCTAATGGCACCCACAAGCCCAACCCGTATGCACGGACACAGGAAAGGTGTACGTGAGCCAAGGTGTGGAAGAGGGAAAGATGCGAATTTCCTTCCCTCAGGGGATCCTTAGTGTCATTGAACGCCACAGAAAAACCAGCTGAGAGAATATGGCGTCACTTCAAAATAACCTACTTTTTTCCCAGGAAGTTTAAAGCCCTCTCTCAAAATCTAATAATAGCTTTAAAAGCTTTACTGAAGGGAAGGAAGGGCAGAAGCTGGGAAGGAAAAAAAAAGAACTCCTCCAGTGACCCGTGTTGCTCTGTGGGAGTTAGTCCACTCCTCTGCAGGAAAACACCCTACTGACCTCTGGAAGGAAGGAATATAAGACGTCGCCTTTGTTTTTTCCTTCTTTATGTCAGGAAATGAAGGAGGAGAAAGAAGAGATCATAGTAAAATCTTGATGCCAAAGGTTCTCAAATAACTCAGAGAATTCGTCAGTAGCTGGACATGCCTGAGAAATGCAATGAGGTCACCAGGAAGGATTTCAAATCTCCCTCATAACATTTGAGGGGCTAAAGAGGGTCACGTTGGAAGGATCAGAACTTGGGGAGACCCCCATCTGGGGAGCAAGAGAGGAAAGCAAATCTGCATTCCCATCACCAGTCATTTTTTTTTTAACTGGACATGTAAGTATGAATGAACACCAGATAACAATTTTATTCACATATAAAAAAGGCCATTACAAAACTATTCATGTCAGAAAATGAAAATTTACAAATCTATAAATTCCAGTATGCAAAACAGTAATGATGAAATCTAAACTGATTCAAGCTGGCAACCTTCAAGCAATGAGGGGCTGTTTTCCTTTTTCGTTTCTTTTTTTCTTTTTTCTTTTTCTTTTTTTTTTTTTTTTTTTACTAGCACAGGCAATAGAGCTCAACTAGGTAACAACAACAGGACCACTTTATCTAGAGTAGAAAAATCTATACTGGAAAAGTATATTCCATATACACAAAATGAGAAAACCCATGCCTTTACATGGTCAGTCCCCAAATCCTCATCTCATTCTTGTTGGTGGGTTTCTGCGATGTTAGAAGTCATACCAATCTCTCTCCCAGCTTTCTTAATACCCAGTAAAGATGTCCCAGCACCCGCACCCCAGAAGGTACAGTCCGTGTGGGTGCTGCAGGGGTATTCCGCCTGTGGGAAACACAGATGGGATTTTCCTCTCAAGTGTTTTACCCAAAGTATACATTATCGTGTGTTTCCGTAGTCCATGGTGATAAGCGGTCTTCATCCTGATAAAATAACCCTGGATTTTTTTTTCAAATGCAGCATCACATGAAATTGTCTTTCAACCCTAAGCATTTCTCTACTGATCAAGTGATGTGTCAGGGTGTGGGGGCCACAGTCCCGTTCCCATCGATCCAGGCTTCTCTCCAGCAACTATCTCTCTTTGAAGTTGAGGAGGGTTTCTACATGTGGAAACTATATTCAGGTCACCAGAAGGAGCACAGCCCTGACCTACTTTGATCATCCCCCTGTCAAAACAAAACGACTGGATTGCAAACAATGGCACCCATATGTGAGTTACAGGGAAGCCACTCAAGGAAACCCTAGTGTGCATTTGCACGGACATCTTGTGGTCAAATCCTAAACCTTTTACATGACTTTCCTAAAGGCAGCTCTCATAAGAGCTGGTGAGTTATCACACTTGAAAAACTATCGGGTAATGCTAAAAAAAAAAAAAAAGGAAAAGAAGAAAAGCCAATCATTTATGACTGGGTATTAAACAGACACAGGAGACTATGGGTTACCCTGAGAATACTCCAATTTCCTCTTTTGGATAAAGAAACCGAGGTCACGAGAATCCACACATTAGAACGCTGGCCCAGCCACAAGGACAAGGGCTCAGCAGATTCCCCTAATATCTTGCAAAGAGCGGAAAGCATGGTTTTAATAAATAACAAGGTCCTGAGAAAGACAGTTTTGTTTTGTTTTTTAAGTTCGGTTTCAATGTTAGGTAAAAGACACTGATTTGGGTGGGGCAACTGTGAAACAAAGAATGTTAGCGCACTCACACGCAACGATGTTCCATTTCTAAGTCCAAGTGTGACAGAGCCAACAGTAATCAGTGAAAAGACAAAGGTCAGATCTGATCATGTAGGTTCAAGTAGGAAACAAATAAATCCTACCCTAGTAATTCCTCTCCAGGGCATAAAGATTAAGAGCAAATGAGCCATCCCCTGGTCATGACTGAACTGGGTTCATTTCTGTCTGAGCTGTAGACATAATTCTGGTGTGTACCTACCAAGTGGGTAAGGCATGGGGCGCTGGAATGAAGCACTTAAATGCGGCATCACTGGCTAAGAGAGGAGACCACGGTGCACACGAACTGTACATGGTCGGAGGGAACCCTGTGGTACTTGGCGGGACGACCTGAGGGCAGTTATGAACTGTTTGCCTACATGCTGTCTACAGATTGTGCATTTTCTTTTTGTCCTAATATGTAGTGCAGTCTCATAAGACTACATGCTTGGTGGTACATCTTAGTAGCAGGGGAGCCGGGTATGGTGTATTTCTAAAGCCCTTAGTGTAAGATACGATGCAAAACAAACAAACAAAAACCAAAACCAAACTCACAGGTACAGAGAACAGACTGGTGGTTGTCAGAGGCAGGACGTTGGGGGTGGAGGGTGAGAAGGGAAAAAAAGAACCATTATCTTTATAAATACCACTTTTCTATACAGGACAACTTCCGGGTCTCCCAAGCCCAGTCACAGGGACAGAAGGAACACATGCTTCATGATCAACTGATTTTCACAGAAATGCGTTCATCAGTGTATATAGGTTTCTAGGGTGTGTGTGGTAAGTGGTTTTTAGGGCAGGGTGGCGGGCGGCTTTCTCCCCCACCACTTTCCCAGCCTGGGCCCCTCATGTCACGGGGTCCAGCAGGGTTCCCGGGACCAGTGGCTGAGGTTTACAAGTGTCGATTCCAGAAGAGACGTGCTCTCCTCCCATTCCTAGTCAGGCCAGTTAACTTCACCTAACAAACCCACGATTTAGGCAGGCAGTGTGGGGTCGATTCTCGCCTCCTAAGCCAATCAGATGATGAAAACGTGAGCTTCGTCAAATAGAAACGTTCAGTTTTGAACCCTTTGACATAAAAAGTAAGGAAACTCTTCTGACGTTGACTTTTAAGGGGATAATCAGCTATGTGAAATTATTTCTGGAAAGAAAATGTCAATGAAAACCTATACCCTGGGTCTTCAGTCTGGTGAGAACCACACTCGCCATGAAAATACACACGAATGCACTTCTGTTTCTTGTTATATGCTCATAATCTCGTAGGCTGCAAACCCAACCCATCAGTCTTTGAAGTCACGCTTGTGGCGTACGAGCTTCTTGTTTAGGAAAGATGCAGGGTATCATGAATGCCTGGAGTCTTTTCTTGTTATTCCTTGACGTTTCAGCTTACAGCTGGTCTGGCTCAGAAGCAACTGGTTGAAAGGCTTAAAATGCCATCGGTTTGGTACAGATTTATTTTCTTTCCCCCCAGAAGCCATGCGAGGTCCAGACTGTGCTCAGCCCATAAGCCCAAGCGGAGGAGTTAAGTGCCTGCTGGGTCCCATCCATATTCTTCTACTGCAGAAAGAAGAAAGTACTTTAAGCTTCCTAAAACAGCAACAAGGAAAGCTTGAAAAACTACCTCACGAGCAAAAGGTGCTCAGCTGTAATCATTAAAAATTATTGTATGTGACTTTTAACTAGTAGTACACATGAATTTAATAACATGCAGACAAGCGGCTCATTAATGATGTTTGAATACCCAGGTACCCACGTATTCTGAGAATAAAGTAAAAGATTTTATAACCACTCACGGTCCCTCAGTATTTGCAGAAAACACTGCAGAGACAATAATGTGATGCACAGCGAACAACATGTATTAACGCAAGATTCTTTTGCTGATTTCCGACCCCATTCAAACACGTAAAGGGTTATTTCTGTGTTGCATTCTTGTAAAGCATTTGTAGATAAAGATGTTAGGATCCTTTCGTCCCTTCTTTAAAAGAACACGGATGATTACTGAACAGTGACATTCTTATTCTTTGCATTTGAAACTTCTGCTAAAACACTGGAGAAAGAGATAGTTTGGAAGGATTTCTCGTCTAATGATCTTCCTGGAAGGCTCGCACTCTTCTGTGGGCAGATGTCCTCAGCAAAGTGGCACCCTCAGATCTTTCCCTTATCACAGAAGGGCAACAGCCTGACTTCTAGAGGCATCGGCCAACTGCACATTACTGCAGGTGAATAAAGCCTTTCATTCACTTATTCACCACTAATTTGGCATTGATGACATATCGGGTAAGTTTACAGGAAAACATTTTTCCCCCTAGGTTGAAGGTGAGTAACTAGGTATAGAAACTTCTGAAGGAGCTCTAAGTAATATAATCCCATCAAATATATTGATCAGTTAATATGACAGTAATAACCACACTGGCACTATTATGAAAGGACAAATGTTCTTCATTTTGCCAATATGGAAAAAATTAGAGTTTAAAAAATTGGGCAACCAGACTCCAGGTGATATCATTTTTTTAAACCATTTCTTCTATTATTTTATGTTGACATTTCCAATGATGGCTAAAAACATCACCAAAAAGAAAAGCTCTTCCGGCAGGTAAACAGCCTGGTCTCATGCTCCCAGGTATCTGAGCAATTGACGGCCAAATATCTTAGTCTGTTCCTTTCTGGGGAGGTGTGTATAGGGAAAATTTAATTAGAATTGAGTCATTGAAGCTCAAAAAGGTTCTCACACCTATTGACTTTATCCTGTACCATAACTATCATCATCAGATTCTGGGTGGTCTTCAACCAACCACAAGAGAACTACTGTGTAAAAATACAGGTTTTGGAAACAAATGCATCAGCCTTAGCAATGTGAGCCTCACACCGAGTAAAGACAGAAGTGCCACTGTGCATTCTGCGGTACAGACGTGTATCTAATCATCACATCGCAGGTCTCAACTTACACAGTGTCAAGTGTCAGTTACATCTCAGTAAAGCTGAATGAAAGGGGAGAATTGAGGTTAAAAACCTGAAAATATGAGTGAAAGCCTGGGTAGGAATTTCAAGTTCCATTGAAAAGACATAGAAAGAAATCGCTGGTAATAGCTAGTAGTATCTGCAGCTGCCCTTACGTGGTTTTCAAACAGGAATGCCATGCTTTGCTGAATTACGAAGGAGCCCGTCATCAGGCTGAGCAAACACAAACTCAAGGGACCGGAAGTCCTTGGGTTCAAAATCCCAAGCTGCTGAAAGAAAATTCTTTATGTGAAGTAAGTATGTTCCCTACCTCGGAGAATCAGCCTGTTATGAGGAAATCTGAATTGCCTTCTGGCATCTAATGGATTGAACAAAAACAGAACTAGTTGAGCTAAAACACTTGGTCGACCCTTGAAGCAAAGAAGAGGGTTAATCTCCCAAAGGTGTGCAGTTGTCTCTGGCTGCTTTTTTTTTTTTTTTAATGTTTATTTTTGAGAGAGACAGAAAGACAAAGCACAAGCAGGGGAAGGTCAGAGAGAGAGGGAGACAGAAACTGAAACAGGCTCCAAGCTCTGAGCCGTCAGCACAGAGCCTAACGTGGGGCTTGAACTCACGAACCATGAGATCATGACCTGAGCTGAAGTTGGACACTTAATCGACTGAGCCACCCAGGTGCCCCTCTGGTTACTTTCTGAAGATTAAGGTTCACTCACTAAGTGCCACACATTCAGTAAGTGCGACCAAAGACAAAGTTCTTTCCAGAACCTGGAAAAGATTATCTCTTAAAATGGGCTCAAAATGTGATTGTTGTTTTTAGTTATAGGGAGAAAATTGAAATGATTCACATTTTAACGATTCCTTTCTTGGATTCAGAATGTCTCGTTATATTTACCAAATCATCCAAAAAGGGATCACACATCTTAGAAAGCTAATAGAAACCTTTCATCACTAAATTACATCGTGCAACTTGAATGTAACATTTTCTCACTCATTTTATATGTAATTATGACTTTCTTTTCATAAATAATTTGGGTTGAAATTATCTTTATGTAGGTCATGATTATCTTGACAACTGTCTTTGAAAAGAGTTAATGCCATTACATATATCAATCGTCTACACTAAACTATTTTACACTCACATAGCTGTGATGATAATGCTTACCAGGATCCCCCTCTGCCCCCACAATATAATCATAAAAAGATAGAGAATGCCTTGGTTCTGATATGACTTGGCATGAAAATGCTTAGTCCTCAGTCTTGGAATTTACATCACACAATTGGGCATGAGCTACACAATTATGCTGAGCAGGAATTCTGTTTGCTGACAATACTCTGAAAAACCCTGGATACTCACCGGGAGCACAAATCTAGCTACTCGGTCTGGCCCCTGACAACAGATATGTGGGAAAAAGTAGCAGACCTTTGTGAAGGCAGTACAAGCCACGTGTATGATGAAAACCAATTGACTTGCTATAAAAGAAACTTCAATATCTTGTAATTTTAGTGTTAAGAATCCCAAGGCTTTTCTTTTAGGGTACTTGGCAAGGGCATCAGCCTGGGAAGTTGGGGTTGGTTGCTCAAGGGGTGGGGTCTCTTTCTCCAGGCGGTTCTCTGCTTCTCCACCCATTCCCTCCTCTGGGCAGCTGGGTGTGCACAGCCCCGAAGGCTTGTGAGCCAAGGTCTGTTCTTGAGACCTACGCACCCTGGCTAACCCTGAAGTCTTTTCTTAGGATTATCACGGAAGCCATAAAAATGATGCCATGGCTCCAAAGAACAAGGTCAATAAACACTCTTTGTCAGCCACAGGGGTATGTATTTTACATTTTAAATGCCTAATTTGTTTGCTTTTCCTCCCTTATCTCTTCTGTATGTCCTTTATTTGGAGAAAAACCACAGTGTTTTCTGCATAGAATTCCCTGTAGATTCTCCATAGAATTTTTTGGTAGTTCAGGAAAAAAAGTATTACAGATATAGATCAACATATAACCTACGCACTGCTCTTAAAAGGAACACATCTCTAGGCACACTCTGGCTTTGGGCTGCATCTAACATAACTGTACAGGGTCACGTCACCACGTGGGAAAGAGGCACTTCTGTGGATCACAGGCACGCAGCAGGGCAGTGTGCAGGCGGGGCCGTGTGGGGCCCGGGGGCCCCCTGGGGCTGTCATTCTGCCCTTCTATATCGAAGACTGGTATCATTTTTCCAAAAGACTGTATTCTGACAGTACAGGTGCTTACGTTAGGGAAACGCTTGTGGACATCAAGTCACACGCAGGAAAGGCAGCATCCTCTCCGGAGGGGAAGGCAGAGGTGGTGCCCAGAGGTGGTGCCCAGGGGTCCCTGATGCTTCTCTATCTCCAGCTGTGCTGTGTGCCCAGAATCCCCATCTCCTTGCAGTCGCCATCTGCCCACCAACCTGATTTTAAACCCTTTTTTTTTTTTTAAATGTTTTATTTTATTTCTAGGAGAGAGAGAGAGAGACAGAGACAGCATGAGCAGAGGAGGGTCAGAGAGAGAGGGAGTCACAGACTGAAACAGGCTCCAGGCTCTGAGCTGGCAGTCAGCACAGAGCCTGACGCGGGGCCCGAACCCATGAACCGCGAGATCATGACCTAAGCGAAAGTCGGACGCTTAACCAACTAAGCCACCCAGGCGCCCCTAAACCCTTTTTTCTAGAAGGTTCTTAGTATTTGAAGCCAGATCACCACCGACAATCAATTTCCAACCAACCTGATCAGTCAGAGCAGAGCCATCTCGAAAACAACAGTAAGAGGGAGAGGGAAAGGAGAAGCTTTGAGAGATCTGAATTCCCATTCACTTGACAGTGAATGAGGTGCATTTAAGTCCTGGGCATAAAACATCACAGGGAAAATGAAGGTGAGGGATTGTTTACAAGATGTTCCCGACACTCACTCATCTCTCTCAACCAGGAATGGACTGCGGGGCCGGGGGGCGGGGGTGGTGCTGTGCTCAGTAGTTGGATTTGCGAAGAGTAAAAGAACGCAGCTGCTCATTATGACCTTATCGAGTAGCTGTTGGTTCAAAAAAGACTCTTGAAATCCAATTTCAAATGTATTCTCCAAACACACAAGAACAAGAACTTACGAAAGATGGGCCCCCCACATTCCAGGGTGAGAGGAATTCCACCCCGCGGGTCTGGCACGAGTCAGTGCTGCGGCCTGGCTGAGGCCAGCCGCCGCCTTACCTGGAGGGACGTCTGAGGGCTCAGGCCGCTGATGTCGCCACCCTCCCGACGCAGCTGGCTTGTGGCACTTGGTGCGTCCTGAGTGGGCGCTGGTTCTGTCGGGGAGGCGTTCGGTCCAGAGAGATCAGGGGCTCCTGTCGAGTTTCCAGAACAACCTTGAATGGGTACAGCCCCACCGACCAAATCCCGACTGCCGTTTGAATCCGAGGAGGATGAGCTTTGGTCTTCAGGGTCGAGGGGACGAATGTCTTCACTGGTGAGTTCAGGGTAAGAGTCACAAAAGGAGAGGTCGTCACCACAGATGGGGTTTTGCATCAGAGGCCAGGCATCTGAAAACTCCCCACAGACGGACCTTGAAAGGGACCCGAAGAACGTGGGCATGGTCTCCCCCACTGGACCTGCGTGTCTGAACACACATTCAAAAGATCCGTAACTCATCTACAGGGAGGCGCAACACCACTACAAAGCGATGCTCCATCTAGATGGAACAGCAACTGATAATGTCAGAATTCTAGTGCTTTCTTTGTTATAAACTTGCCTCAACCTACTTACTTTACAACTGCAGTCTTACACCTACTTCTAGTCAAGACAGTTGTGCTTAACCCGATGTCTAAAATACGGTTTCCTGGTCTTAACTGAGTTTCTTAGTGGCCATTCTAAAATTCTATGAGTAGATGACATGCTAAGAATTACTTCTGGATGACAATGTGTCAGATACGGGAAACAAAATTAATGGAGCATAAAGTATAAAGAGTGCCGCACAGGGTATCAGTGACCTTGAAAGACTTACTTATCTCTTGCCAAAGATTTGTCCCTCTCTGATATCCAGAAGGTCAATAGTAATCTTTATAAAATGATCTCTCATAGTTTCACATGAAAACTGGCGAGCTAGCAGAAGGCATATTTGCACAAGGGAGTAAAAAACCACATGGGTTAAAAGCACCGAGTTACCTGTCCTGAAGAGCGGTCTTGGAATGAACTCTACAACCGAGGGTCACCCGGTCGATGCTGCAGGCCTGGTCACAGCACAGGGACGGAATCAGGTGGACCGGCCCTAGGGAAGCCAGCAGAGGGGTGAAGCACAAGGCTTTCTTCTGGGAACTTCCTCTTTAGGACCAGTTCAAGGTTGCTGTGGAAAATTTAGCCATTCCCCCCTCCCTTGGACGACTTTTTGGGGGAAGGGAAATATGAGGTTTAATTCTCTCTCTCTTTTGTTACCCTACAAAAATGATGAAGCACTTCTATGAAGCACCTAGAGCGGTCAAATCCAGAGAGACCGGAAATCGAATGGGGGTGGGGGTGCCTGGGGTGGAGGTGGGCAGCACTGTGGTCAATGGGGACAGGGTTTCAGTTTGGGAAGGTGAAGGGGTTCTGGAGGTGGTGCTGGCACACAGTGGGAGGGTCCTTAGTGCTGCTGAACTCAACACTTAAGCCATGTTAAAATGATGCATTTTATGTTCCATATATTTTACCACAGTAAAAATCGTAATGAAAGGTAACACAGCTGGCGAGAGGGGCGATGGAATGAGGCTCGCGTGATGGCAAAATAGCAGCACGTTTCTGCTGAGTGGCCTAGTGGTGTGGGACCAGAGCACAGCTCTCTGACTCACACACACACCACACACCACACACACACACACACACACACACACACACACACACAATTTTTTTACTGCTAGGAATATAACATAAGGAATAACTAGATGTATGCACACAGCTTCATAAACCATACCATTCACTGAGGCAGCATATATTTTTTGTTACAAAGATGATATGAGTTTACTGAAGAAAAAATTTTTTTCTTCATTTTAGATAGAGCGCAAGTAAGGGAGACGGGGGAGAGAAAGAAAATCTTTTATTTTTAAATGCTTATTTATTTTTAAGAGACAGACACAGCACAAGTAGGGAAGGGGCAGAGAGAGAGAGGGAGACACAGAAGCTAAAGCAGGTTCCAGGCTCCGAGCTGTCAGCACAGAGCCTAACACGGGGCTCAAACCCATGAGCCTCAAGATCATGACCTGAGCCAAAGTTGGACATTTAACCAATTGAACCACCCAGGTGCCCTGAGAGAGAGAGAGAGAGAGAGAGAGAGAGAGGAGAGAGAGAATCTTAAGCAGGCTCCATGCTCAGCACAGAGCCTGATGGGGGGCTAGATGCTACGACCATGAGATCATGACCTGAGCCAAAGTCAGGTCAACTGACTGAGTGACCCAGGTGCACCAAAGAGAAAAAATTTTAAGAAGAGTGGGATTAGATAAGAAACTTACATATATATATATATATATATATATATATATCCCAATCCTATAAACTAGAAATGAACTCTGTCAACATTTGGTGAACAGTCTTCTAGACTTCTCTCTCTATAGTTACCTACATATATAACCTGATTTTTATAGAACCGTAAACATACCAAAGCATACAAAAATAAAGACATGCACATCAATGGCAAAAAAGATGTGAAGAAATTAAATATTTACATATATGTCTACACCTTTTTGTAGAGGTTTCCAAAGTTTTCATGAGAAATGATCTTTTATAAAAAGAAAAACATGTTATGAAATTAGTATTTCCTTTTTTAAAACGAATGGTAAGCACTGATGTGCAACTGTAAACCAGCGTGAAGCAGGACGGCACCCACACACCTTTGCCTAAATCTCTCTCGTGCAGGTGCCACCTCGCATACCTGCATCCACGCTACCGTGAGCGCAGAGAACTCACCCAGATCCACCGCCCATCAACTCAGCAAGCCTGTGTCACACTCACCGGGACACATTCCAAAACTATTTAAAAGTAAAAGGTACTGCCATTCTTTTCAGACATGGCTGTTTCTAGAGCTCAAGCTGTGAAAGTACAAGACAAGCCTGGAACTTATTTTGTGCCAGAAATCAAGAAAGTGCTAGAATAATCAGGACATGTCAAAATGACACAGAAGCCACCCTGAAGGGACTTCCATTGACCTAACCTAGGAAATTGTGAGCGCCAATATCAGGATAGCAAAGGAGCATAAACTATGGAGAAGGGTCCGTCAGTCCATGCTAATTCATGTAAATAAATAAATGGGGAGAAGAAGTTTTTTCTTACCACAGGAAACCAACCAATAAGTGTGGTAAGAGCAATGGAATTACAAATTGAGGGGATGCTAAAGTTCTGGGTGAAAGTTTGGAGCGCACCCTCGTACAATGCAAACTGGGTGCAGGGAACGCAAACTGGTGCAGCCCCTCTGGAAAAAAGTGTGGAGGTTCCTCAAAAACTGAACACTAGAACTCCCCTATGACCCAGCAATAGCACTGCTAGGAATTTACCCAAGGGATACAGGAGTGCTGATGCATAGGGGCACATGGACCCCAATGTTCATAGCAGCACTCTCAACAATAGCCACATCATGGAAAGAGCCTAAGTGTTCATCAACGGATGAATGGATCAGGAAGATGTGGTTCATCTACATAATGGAATACTACACGGCAATGAGAAAGAATGACATCTGGCCGTGTGTAGCAACGTGGATGGAACCTGAGGGTGTTATGCTGTGTGAAATAAGTCAGGCAAAGAAGGACACATATCATATGTTTGCACATATAGGTGGATTAGGAGGAACTTAATGGAGGATCGTGGGGGAGAAGAAGAGGGGGAACAGTGGGGAGGGGGAGAGAGGCAAACCATGAGAGACTCTTGAATGCTGAGAACAAACTGAGGACTGATGGGGGTGGGGGAAGGGGGGAGATGGGCATGGAGGAGGGGCACTTGTGGGGATGAGCACTGGGTGTTATATGGAAACCAACTTGACAATAAACTATTTGTAAAAAAATAAATAAATGATCAAATAAAATGTAATCCTTACATTAAAAAAAAACCCCAGGATATTTAGGTAGTCTCCAAGAGTCTCCCACAATAATTGTACAGCAGAGAAAGCTGCACATGCCACCTTAATGAAGGGACCCACACGAATCTGACCGGGAATGGGGCAGCTGCACGCTGTGCCTCCTGACACGGGGCACTGAGAAGGACACAGGGTTGCCTCTGCGGTACTTCTGAATCCAGACATCTGCAAACAGGAGACAAATGTAAACTGAGGGTCCATCCGCAGAATTACTGGCCTGTGCTCGTCAAAAAGAGTGATGTCATGAGACACAACGATTAAGGACCGAGGCCGGATTAAAATCAGGTAAAGAGGTTTGACAACTAAATGCAACAAGGTTATCTGGGATTTTCTTTTACCGTAAAGGCCATCTTTGGGACAATTACAAAAATGTGAATATGCTCTTCAGATAATACCACAGCTTTGACTCAGTGCTGATCTCCTTATTTTAGTAAGTGTGCTGTTCTGTAAGAGAATGTTCTTGTTCTTAGGAAATTATCACCATCATGTAAAGGAGTAAAGGGAGAGCATATCTGCAACTGATTTTGAAGTGGAGATGAAAAAAGTGTGTATACTTGGAGCGAAAAATGATAAAACAGAATGTGGAAATAATATTTGGGGAATCTGGGTAAAAAGGGTGTGACAATTCTTTCTTCTATTCCTTCAGCATTTTTGTAAGTCTTCCATTATGTCAGCATAAAAAGCTGAAAGAAAAAAGGCACGGCCACGAGCAGGAGACCATGTAGGCGACAAGCTGTACGGAGCCTGGGCGTTAGCAGGGAGGGGGGGCTCCTTCCGGTGTCGGCATTCTGTTAGGAGGTGCACACGGCCATCTGCCTTTTTAATCTTTCCTTCCCAACTGAAGTTCAAAGGAGGTAGAGTGTGCACAAAGCTCCACTTTATTACATTTAAAATTTCAGTTCATCTCTCAAGAAATGATTGCTGTGCCCTCTGACTCTAGCGGCGGTGCACCGGGACGGTACCTGGGGACCCCGCTGCTGAGGGCGTTTGGAGGATCAGCCGGGGATTGTCAGGAGCCATCTAGAAGCCCATTATCTATGTAGGCAAAGGCAAAAATAGATCCATACACACCACGGAAAGTCCTATGTTTTTATTCCCGCCCCATCCCTATGGCAGAAGGCAGTAAGCAGCGGTAGCCAAGAAGTGTGTTGAAAACTTCTTACACCACATATGGAACGTTAGGTCAGAAAACTGAACCTGTAAGTTCTTGGTAAGAAAGACTGGACGGTTCCAAGAGTGTCGGCCCATCAAAGTGGGAAACTCGCAGCCTAAAGAGTGGCTCTAAGAAACAAAATGGGGCTGTCGGCGTTGCTTCGTGGGCGGGAGATGAGAACAAGAAGGGAAGATGAGGCAGGAGGGGGCAGACATCTGGGAAGGGTGCTGTCATCTGACTCTGCTTTGCAGAGGAGGAGGGGTCTTCGGGGTGGGGTGTAAGTGTGGAAGCCTCATGTTGATGAATATGAGTAAGAGGCAGAGAAAGGTAGTACTCCCTGTGCCCTCCCAGTCTTTAAGAAATCCTACAAGATATTCATAGACACATCAGAGTACAGCTTCAATCCACCAGACAAGACCAGATACCCACTCCTCCTCTATGAAAGGATGATATTAATGGCGCCTAGGTGGCTCAGTCGGTTAAACGTCCAACTTCAGCTCAGGCCATGATCTTGCGGTTCATGAGATCAAGTCCCGCGTCGGGCTCGCTGCTGACAGCCTGTCAGCCAGAGCCTGCGGAGGATCCTCTGATCCCCTCTCTGCCCCTCCCCAGCTTGCACTCTCTCAAAAATGAATAAACATTAAGAAAAAAAAGATTAACAAAAGGATATTATTTTAAATCAACTGACCCAAAACAATAAAGGCAAACTTGCTTGAAAAAGCTGCAGAGTACTCCTAGAATTTTAATGAGATGCTTCTTTTCTTTTTTAATACATAAAAGGCTCAGAACATCTAAACCATCAGGAGACAGAGAATAACTTAACAAGATTAGCTTTAATTAGAAAACAAAACAGAGCTACTCAGCTGCGGGACAGACAGGGACACTGCTTTGCAATGTCGGGGTCCCAGGGGTTCCCCTAACGGCCCCTCACCCCGGCTGCACTTACCGCAGGTCTGGGCCGAGTCCCGGTGACACGGACAACATGCTCTGGGAGCAGATCCGCTGAGCTGAGGTCTGTCAAAACATGACAGTTCAGAACCGTTGTACTGAATGTCCTGTGCTCTCAGAGACCCTACAGGGGGCAAGAATTCCGTCAGTGAAGGCCGTTTCCTCCCTGAAGGAGCCCGTGAACGCCACATGCAGATGCATACCAATCTAGCCCTTGTCTTCCTGAAGAAAATGGCGGCTACCAATCTCACGTAAAAATACTTCTTCTTACACGCAGGCACAAAGAGGAAGTGACCTGTTAAAGCTCAAGACCTAGAGTACGTCTGTGGCCAGAATGGAGAACGATTTTCACTTCTGCCTAGAGTCCCGGGTCAGGGCTGCCTTGTCCACGTCCTTACAAAGTGGTGCCCCTGGGGGACCAGGTGGCCGTGAGCTCCGTCCCTTCAACGGTTTGTGACCATGGTCTTAGTCAAGGCCCTCGTGGAAGCTCAAGTGACCACAATGATAAGTACACTTCACCCAGATGCTAAGACACAGAAAGAGCTCAAAACTCACAGCTGGGTTTTTTCTCCACGAACTGCCTCTTGCAGTAGATGACGCAGAGGATGAGCAGGGCCAGAAGGACAGTGGCGAGGGCGCTGCAGATGACGGCCGCCAGGGCTGTGTCCCGCGGGCTGGAGGCCGTGGATGGGATCTTCACGAGGTTGACCTTACTGGTACCTGGAAACCACAGGAATGGAGTCAGCCGGCTCTCAACAGCCGGGGGACCCTGACGCTTACACCCAACATGGCGCCGCCTTTAATAATGGCCTCCCTGCAATGTAGGTAAGATCCCAGAACACGGGGAGGTAGCGGAAGACCTCCCAGAAGACTTCTTTAACACTGCACCCCTCCACCTGTACCCTTCCCACAGCGCTGTGGTCACACAACCTCTGATGCATCGTGTTGCTGGAATGTGCCAGAGACCCGCCGGACCAGAGCTGGCTGCTCGCTGTAATTCTTCATCTCTGTCTCCCAGTAGTTGATGCAGAATTTAGCCCATAGTAGGTATGTCATATTTGCTACCTAAATGGAATGAGATGACCTGGATTTTTGAACACACTGGATTAAGGTATGCTTTTGGGGGGGCAACTTTAGGGAAAAACAAGGAGCTAGATCCTTCATAACCTAAGAATAACCCCCAATTTCTGAGACAGTAAATATTTTTTAACACCTGGCTGTTAAATTTTAAACCGAAAAACATCTAAATTTTGGAGAAAAAAATATTATTGTTATTATACTATGGATGGACAGCACTGTAATGTGGTAAGAAAGTGTCAAGAAAGAGATTTTATTTTATATGTTTATTGATTTTGAGAGAGAGAAGGAGCATGGGAGGGGCAGAGAGAGAGGGAGGGAGAGAATCCCAAGTAGGCTTGGTGCTGTCAGTGCAGAACCCAACACGGGGCTCGATCTCACAAAACGCAAGATCATGACCTGAGCCGAAATCAAGACTTGATGCTTAACTGACTGAGCCACCCAGGCGCCCTGAGATTCTATTTCAGAGGGTGGTATTGCATCATGGTTAAGGGCTGAGATTTTAGAATCTCGCCGCCTGGGTTAACCTCTGGATGGGGAACTTTGAGCCAATTACTGAATCTCGTGGGGTCCTCACGCACGCCTCCGTTCTCTGGAGGTAGTAATAGTAACCATCTCACCTGGCTACTGAGAAAATGACATGCAATATCAGGTAAAGCATGTAGAAAAGGCCTTACACTCATTGCTCTAGAATCATCACCAATCGATTGCTACTGTTATTAATGATGATAATAATCAGCACTAACATTTTAGGGCACTGGGATGAATAAACTCATTTAGCTCAGAAATCTCCATGCTGTGCAGCCACTTCATAACCTGACAAGAGTTTGGAGAGCTTAAAACCGACATAGAGGGACAGTTATGCTTTCTCCTCCTCTGGGCACCAGACCCTGAAGTAGGCAGGCCCTCATTCTGTTCCCTTCAGATGCTCCCAGCCCCTTGGAGCTCACCTGGGGCTGAGGGGGCCCAAGGGAAATGTAACATGTACCCCCCCATGTAATTTTAAGTTGTCTAGATGCCCTGTTATAAAAAAACAAAAAACAAAAAACAGGGGCGCCTTGGGAACTCAGTCCGTTAAGCGTCCGAGGTCGTGATCTCACAGTTGGTGAGATCAAGCCCCACAGCGATCAAGCGTACTGTCAGCACAGAGCCTGCTTGGGATTCCCCCTCTCCCTCTCTCTCTCTGCCCCTCCCTGCACTCTCTCTCTTTTCTCTCTTTCAAAATAAATACTAAAAAAAAAAAAGAAAAGAAAAACAAATAGTTAAAATTAATCTATCTTACCTAACCCAATATATCTTAAAATACACATATTCATGTACTCAATATAAAAATTATTAATGACATATTTTACATTCTCTATTTTGCACAACACTGTCTAAGCCCAGTGTGCCTTCACATTGGCATCACCATCTTCGTTTGCACTAAGCATGTTTTGGGTGTTCATTAGCCACATACAGCTACTGACTATTGTGCGGACATCACGGCTCTAGACATTAAAGGTTGGTGTCCATATTTGTGCAGCATGGCACCTCGATGCAAGCCAACTCACCATCTGGTACCTTTCGTTCTTTCTTTTTTAATGTTTATTTTTGAGAGAGAGAGAGAGAGAGAGAGCATGAGCAGGGGAGGGGCAGAGGCGGGGTGGCAGAGAGAAGGTCCGAAGCGGGCTCTGCCCTGACAGCAGCAAGCCCAAGGCCGGGCTCAAGCTCACGAACCCTGAGATCATGAGCTGAGCCAAAGGTGGACGCTCAGCCGACTGAGCCCCCAGGCGCCCCAGCTGGTACCTTTCTTCTGGCCCCTTGGTTACTCATCTGACTTCCCCCATAAGATTGTTTTCCACTGTATGATGCTTGAGGGTAGAAACAGAGAGAAACTTCTGGGTTCGTGGTATTGAATCGTGAAAACACGCCAGCAGGGGTGATCCTCAGGGAACACTGAATCTTGCTATTTCCAGGCTCCGTGAGTCTGGGGCCACGCTGATAAGTTTCCTGCTGCCACGTGGGAAGCACCTAAGCTATATGCCCTGGGCTCGGACGATTAGGAACCATAATCCAATCATACATTTTAAAGGGTATTTTTTATACACACGTTTCATATTGGTACAAACATTTAGCACTTATAGCTACACAGACATCCTATAATAACCAAACAGCACATACTGAAGTTTATCCTACAGCAAGGCAAACAAACGGCATCCCTGACCTGATAGAGACGAAAACTGGATCTGAAACAGCCTCTGTTGGGGGACAGGTATGAGCACGGGCACAGCTCAATGAGCCCCATGCTGACAAATCAATTACCCAACAGGATTTGGAGCCTACGTAATGGAAAGGGCAGGCTACCCTGCAAGGGCACGGGCCTTGGAGATTTGGACCAAAGGCTGACGTTGTGCGACCTCGCTTACGTTTGTGAGAAAGGGGCTTGACTTCAGAGCGGGATCAGGTCCCTTCGCGTACACTCTCCATCAGATGAGGCAGCTCCCTCCACACAACGCGGGGCTTTAGCAATAGCTGTTGTCGGACTGAAACGCAGCGTATGATTGGAGCCCACATCTCAGTCCCTAACTTCGTTGTAACCGCCAAGGTAAGCTCATCGACTCACACGGTACTGGATCTCAGGACAAGCCTACTGAGCACAGGGGCTGCAGGCTCTAGTAGCATTGTTGCCAGGACCTGAAAGTTCTCGGTGAACTTCCTTTAAAACAGATGACTCCCTGGTTTGCCTTCATACGAGAGCGACTGTTTCTAACTTACAAACATGCTAAAATGCTCCCACTGGGGACTTTATTTTGAATTTGGTGCTTTGTGACTCAGCCATCTATTTTTGCCAAGCTAATCATGAAAGTGCTATGAATGCATACCTTCCCGCAGCAGGGTATTAAGATTGTAACTTCAGTGATACCGAGTTACCATATAGCATCTTTTTTTTTTTTTTAAGTGCACTTCGGGGGTGCCTGGGTGGCTCAGTCAGTTAAGCATCCAACTTCTGCTCAGGTCATGATCTTTGTGGGTTCGAGCCCCGCATCAGGCTCTGTGCTGACAGCTCACAGCCTAGAGCCTGCTTCAAATTCTATGTGTGTGTCTCTCTCCGCTCCTCCCCTGCTTGCTCTCTGTCTCTCTTTGTCTCAAAAATAAATAAACATTAAAAAAAAACTTAAAAAAAAGAACAAAGCCAGGGGGCGCTTGGGTGGCTCAGTCGGTTAAGTATCTGACTCTTGATTTCAGTTCAGGTCATGATCTCACAGCTGGTGAGTCTGAGCCCCATGTTGGGCTCTGCACTTGGCATTCTCTGTCTCCCTCCACCTCTGCCCTTCCCCCACTTGCATTCTCTCTCCCTCTTTCTCAAAATAAATAAATAAACTTTAAAAAAAAGATTAACCCCAGAAACGCATTTACATAAGTTTCTGGTAAAAGCCTGTTTCCTTATAATTCTTTATGATTTGAGAAGTTAAAAAAAAAAAAAAGTGAGGGGGAAGGAGAGAGGGAGGAGGTTGGTACCAGTTTTACAAAGTGGTTTCTCTTAGATTAAGTCCCAGTTAATTGAGATATTGCTGAGAAATTCCCAGAAAAGGATTTATCTGCTACCAACTAAAAAGTACCGTTTTGCTGACCTGTGACTGCCGCAATGATACTGAGATGAAAGAGTCTTCTCAGCCACGCGCCTGGACTGCATTACGAATGTCCCCTAGCTGACCAAGCGTGCTGAATGCCTGCGAGGAATGTCCCCCACCCCTTAGTAGGATTCTGACAGTAGTTCCGAATAGTTGGGAACAGGAATGTGCACGGTCTTTGGAAAGTTTTAACTTTTCCGGGATACAAAGGCTTCTCTTACTTACCCTAATTAAGTTATTAGATTCCACTATAATCTTAGCACTACCCTCTGGCGATTCACTTCAGAGGAGACCTGTTTTCTCAGCAAAGGTTTGTAGTCCATTCGAGAAGGGCAATTTTGTATCTACATTTCCTTAGGCAGGCGTGCAGCTCCACCAAGAGCTACGGAGTATCTACCATGAATATAAGACATCCTACAAAGCACTAAATAAGTTGGAAGAGAATCTAAATGGAAGAAGGGAACAGAGACATCACAAACAAAGTCTGGCAGGTGTTTCTGTAAAAGCCCACTTTTAACCCCTTCGGAGTGCGACCGAGGTGCAAAATCCCCAAACCCGCGGGCTGCTCTGTGCACATGGAAGCCCCTGACCGGCTTCAGCCCGGCGCTGGTGACAGGCGTGTGCTGGAGGGCTCTGTGTCAGCATCATGGCCACGTGTCAGAAGAGGAACTCCTCGGTAGCTGCAAATTAGGAACTCGGGGGCAGGCCACAGCCTTCCCGAAACATGCTTCCGACACTGGTGGTGCCTTCGGAGCCCTGGATGCTGCTAACGCACCCCCGGTGAGTTCACCCCCTTCCCGGGAGCCGGGGAAGTGCGCCGACAGCCTGTATTTTCTAGGTGGGAAAACCAAGACGTTAGGTAATTTGCCCACGGTTATACAGCAACGTGGGGACAGCTCAGGGACCGGATGGACCCAGGCCTTGGGCCCCTTCACGGTGGGCCACACTGGTCGGCAGATGTGGGCGGCTTCTGAGAGGGTAACACATTCTGCCAGGGAAAGAGAAAGCAAAACGTGGCCCATGTCTGTGTGG